TCTGGGTTTTTATCTGGCTTAGGAGGTACTCTTCTATTCCTCATTTGTTAAAGGTGTTTTGTTATTGTTTCTAATCATGAGAGTGTGTTGGGCTTTGTCAAATGCATTCTCAGCATTCATATAATGTAATCAATTACATTGATTTTGGATGTTAAACCAACTTTATATCCTGGGATAAATCTCATTTGGTCATGATATGTAATACTTTTTATAGGCTGCTAGATTCAGTTTTGTTGAGGACATTTGCATCTATATTCATAAGCAATATTCATCTGCAGTTTTCTTGTGATATGTTTTTCTGATTCAGGGCAGGGTAATGTTGATCTCATTGAGTGAGTTGGGAAGCATTCCCTCCTGGTAGATTTTTTGAGAGTTTGTGAAGGATTGGTGTTAATGCTACTTAAACATTTGGTAAAATTCACCAATAAAACCATTTGGTCCTGGGCTCATCTTTGCAGGAAGATTTTTTCTAAAGATTTATTATTTTTTTAAAAGTAATCTCTAGACCCAGTGTGGGGTTCAACCTCACAATCTCAAGCTCAAGAGTTGCATGCTCCATCGACCTTGCTAGCCAGGTACCCTGGAAGATTTTGATTATGGATCCAGTCTCTTGTTGTTGGCCTATTTGGATCTTACATTTCTTGTTGATTCAGTTTTGGTAGTTTATGTCTTTCTAGGTATTTGTCCATTTCAGCTAGGTTATTTGGTTTGCTGTAATGTAGTTTGTATATAACTGTTCACAGCATTCCCTTACAGTCCTTTAAGTTTCTCTAACTTCAGTCCCTTCTTTCATTCCTTATTTTGGTCATTTGTGTGTTCTTTTTTTTTCTTGGTCAGTCTAGCTAAAGGTTTCTTAGTTTTGTTGATCTTATCAAAGAATCACTTTTGGTTTTGTTGGTTCTCTATCTTTTTTTTTTTTCTAAACTCTTTTTCACTTATTTCTGCTCTGATCTTTATTATTTCCTTCCCTATGCTTACTTTGAGTTTAATTTATCTTTCTGTTTCTGGTTTTTTAAGGTGAAAGTTTAAGTTATTGATTTGAGATCTTTTAAAATATATGACTATAAAACTATTTTATACTATACAACTATTTAACTATTACACAACTATTTTTTTTAAATAGGCTCCGTGCCCAACATGGGGCTTGAAATCATGACCTCAAGATCAAGAGTCACGTGCTCTACTGACAGAGCCAGCCTGGCACCCCTATGATACAACTAGAAATAACTATAGTTATAACCATACAACTATTTAGAAATATAAATTTCCCTCAAACACCACTTGAGCTACATCTCATAAATTTTGGTGTGTTGTGTTTTCATTTCAAGGTCTTTTCCAAATTCCCTTGTTTTTTTCTTTGACTCAACAGTTCCTTAGGAGTGTGTTGTTTAATTTCCACATATTTGTGAATTTCCTTCTCTTATTGATTTGCGATTTTATTCCATTGTGATCTAAGACTGTGCTTCCTATGGTCTCAGTCCTTTTAAGTTTCCTGTGGCTCTTTTCATTGCCCGGCATATGGTCTATTCAAGAATGTTCCATGTACCCTTGAGAACATATGTTCTGCTATTAATGAGTAGAGTGTCTCATGGATGCCTTTTAGGTATAGTTGGTTTATAGTGTTGTTTATGTCTTCTATATCCTTGTTTAGCTTTTGTGTAATTAGTCTATCCATTAAGAAAGTTGAGTTTTGGGGCATCTGGGTGGCTCAGCATCAGCTGGCTTAAACATCTGCCTTTGGGTCAGGTCATGATCTCAGGGTCCTGTGATCTCAGGACACTGGGATCAAGCCCCATATTGGGCTCCCCACTCAGCAAGGAGTCTGCATCTCCCTCTCCCTTTGTCCCTCTGCCCCTCCCCCTGCTTGTGCATGCTCTCTCTCTCTTTCTCAAATAAATAAACAAAAATCTTTTTAAAAGTGGAGTATTAGAGTATCTAGCTATAATTGCTAAATTATCTATTTTTCTCTCATTCTACCAATTTTTCTCCAAGTATTTTGAGTCTATTGTTAGGGTGCATATATATTTATATTTGTTATTTATTTTTGATGGATTGATGCTTTTATCACTATAAAAGATCCTTTATCGCTCTTGTAACAAAGAGCGTCTTAAAATCTATTTTGTCTTAAAATCTATTTTGTCTGATGTTAGTATAGATAGCCACTCCAGTTCTTTTTTAGTTGCTGTTAGCATGGTATATATTTTCCATACCTTTACTTTCAAATTATTTGTGTTTTTGTCTGAAGTGAATATCTTATAGAAATCATATAAGTAGATCATGTTTTTTAAAAAAAATTCCATTTGCTAATTTCTGACTTTTAATTGGAAAGTTTAATCCATTTACATTTAATGTTATTATTTTACATTTACCATTTACTATTTTTTAAAATATAACTCTTATGTATTTTTTGTTTCTCAATTCCTACAGTATTATTGCCTTCTTTTGTATTAAATTATTTCATTATGCTGTTGTTTTAAAATCAGATGGGAAAAATAGGTTGATAAACAAAAAGTACATTTATATATTGTTTTCTATTTTATCTATATAGATAGATATACTTTACTTTACTATTTAAGGTTAAATATACTTTGCTGCCTTTTATTTCTTCGTGTGGTTTAAATTATTGCTTAATGTCCTTTAATTTCATCCTGAAGGACTCTTTTTAGTATTTATTTTCAACTGCAGAATTTCTATTTGGTTCCATTTAATAATTTCTATCTCTTTATCAATATTCTCCATTTGGTGAGCTATCCTTCTCATACTTTCCTTTAGTTTTTTTTAGACATGGTTTCCTTTAGTTTTTTAACATATTTAAAGTCTGTCTAGTAAATCTAATATTTGGGCTTCCTCAGGAACAGTTTCTGTTGATTGCTCTTTTTTTTCTGTGGAGGGTCATACTTTTTCATTTCTTTGTGTGTCTCATAATTTTTTGCTGAGAACTGAACATTTCAAATAATATGTGGCAATTCTGAGATCAGATTCTCCCTCACTCTTTGTTGCTACTTGTTTGTTTAGTGACTTTTCTTTTTTTTTTTACTTTAAAAAACTTTTTAATTTCTATTTTATTTTTTTTTAATATCTTATTTATTTGAGAGAGTGAATAGGAGAGAGCACAGAGGGAGAGGGAGAAGTAGACTTGCTGCTGAGCAAGAGCCTGATGTGGGGCTTGATCCCAGGACCCTGAGATCATCACCTGAGCCAAAGGAGACGCTTACCTGACTGAGCCACCCAGGTGCCCCTTTAGTGACTTTTCTGATCTAATTCTCTAAAGTCTGTATCTCTCTCCTTTGTGACCACTGAAGTCTCTGCTTGGTTGGTTTAGTGGCCAGCTAATGACTGGACAAGGTTTTCCCTCAATGCCTGAAACCAGTAAGTCTTTCAGTCTTTGCTGAGAGCACATAAGCCTATGTTGGGTCCCACCTTCAGCATTCAACTGGGCAGTTTACAACTCTGCCTTAGCCTTCACTTCTGCCTTACACAAGCCTGAAGGTCAGTCAGAAGTGAGAGCTTGAGACCTTAGTTCTTCCCTGAGCATACAAGCAGTCCTGGGCTTTTGCTTGAACTTCTAGAATCCCAGGAATATATTGGTCCTTTTTGAAGCCCCTGAGGACATCTCATTCCTCAGTTTTTCCTTTTAAGCTTTTTGATTAGTTTATCGGCACCCCTACAGTTATCCATTGCCTATGGCAATGACAGCTATGCTACCAGAGGCAGTTAAAATAGTAGTACATTTGATAAATACCCCCCAAGAGAGGCCTTTAGCATTGGGTATGTGTGAGTGAGGTCACATAAAGACAAGATTTTCACATGGAGTCTTCCAGGAAATGAAGGTTTAAAGGAGCTCCAGCCCTGTCTGCTTCTTAGTAATTGGGAATGTGGGATGTTATTTTTCAAGGCAGCCATGGAATTAGGGTATAGGGTCATGGGCTAGGATAAGTTGAAACACCACAAAGCTCACTCTTCTTACCAAAATTCTTGACCAAATGCCCCTGGGTTACTGCAAAACTGTGGTTAATTTACAGAGTTCTGAAAAAGTAGATTCTGACAATTTTTGCTGGTTTTTTCATTGTTTTTATGGAGGGACAAAATTTCAAGGGTTCTTACTCTGCCATTTATGCAGATATCATTCTTACTATGTTTTTGCAACTTTGTCCTCTGGGGCCAGAGTGCTGGCTGGGGACACCTGCAATGCTCTGACACGCACTTCTGCCAGACAGGTTGTAGGATTGGAGGGCTGGGGCCCAAGGCTGTGCAGAGATTTGGGATTTGGGCTTAATCAGACTCTAATTTCTGTTCTCAATTTCTAGCCCCTGGTGCTTCCTTTTACAGCAAATATTTGTTGAATTGATTAGTGCTTGGTAACCTTGGACTTGAACTTCATTTACAAATTATGAGGCACAAAACACTTGTGGTTATGTCCTCCCTCTCTGGTCTATCTGTAATTGCAGAAACCCTAAATAAACGTTCCCTCCTTAAATGAAACAAACTGTGGCTTCAGGTGAGTTCTGGTTTCCAGAGCTCAGAATTTCCCCATGGGAAGGGCTTACTGGGGCTGGTAGGAGGGACCCAGGCCCCAGGGCATGGACTTCAAGGCGCTATAACAGAACTTTCTAATAAGCTTTCTTAAGCTTTCAGCTATCCCCATCAGAGAGGGAGAGGTCATCTTTGTACTCACTGGCTCCTACAACCTGAGTCTTTCTATGCTCTTTTGCCTGTACAGCCACCTTTAAAAAAATATTTGTTGAATTGATCAGTGCTTGGTGCTTTTGGCATCAAATGGCATTTACAAGTTATACTGCACCCAGTGCTTGTGATCATCTGGCTGTGTTTTGGAGCTGACCCCCAGGGTGGTTAATGAGTTGAGATTTGCTGGATGAGGTATGCTTCTTGGTATGTGGGCCCGGCATCTGAGTGCCAATGGATCCTCTCCAAAGTTTCCCTCCACCCCAGTGTAGGAGGACCAGCACCCCGCTGTTCAGGAGAGCTACTGTTTTTTTTTCTTTTGAAAGGCAGAGGCAGATACTGCTTGTGCTTTCGAACTTTACTAGAAAGTTTCTTCAAGGAAATGGAATCAGTGTTAAAGATCTCCATGAGTGCTCTGGATCCTTATTTTATTGCTGACCATAGTGCCTGCTTAGCCAGCAGTGGCCACTATTCAGAAGCTGACCTTGGGTGTTTGCACTTGGATCACAATAACCCTGCTGGTCTCTTTAGGTAAAAATGCATGGAAATAGTGCCTTCCTGGTGGTCTTCTATCAGACTCTGCTCCTAATGCTTTTCCTGACATGTTGGGGGATAACCTGTTCTCTGAGCTTTGACAGCATGGACTTCTTTTGGGTGCTTGGCCAATTTGTTGGTCGGATCCAAGGGACCAAGGCTGCCCTGGTCTGGGTCTCCAGGTGGCATTTGCAGCGCAGGCTCCCAGGGAAGGGAACAAGGCAGAAGGTGGGCATGTGTGGGACTTCCTCACCAAACTGTTTTTTAGGATTCCTAAATTAGGTCTTAACTGTTTTTTAGGATTCCTAAATTAGGTCAGCCAAGAGTCAGGTGGCTTAGGGTTCCCTGTTAGGCTCCTCTCAGCCTGGGACCCCCAGGCATCCTGGCCTGACACTATGGACCTTAACTCAGTGCTGTTTGGGACCTTCCCAGCGAGTCCTCCCCCCAGCCTGGACCCAGCCCCACCAGCCTCTGCTTTCACTGTGCTGCCCCCGCCGAGCGAACAATATCCTTTCTATTTGGAGTTGACTCTGCTGCCCTTTGGAGATCCCAGTGTGTAACGTGAGCTCCTGTCCAGAGGGGGTGGGGGGAGAGGCGCCCCCTGCACGCCGGTCTGTCCCGTAGCCGCCCTAGCGGCGCTTGTCCGGAGGTGGCTGCCGGCGGCCCTGCGGCTCTCGCCACCGCCTCTGACCCCCGAGGTCGGGGTTGTAGCGGTACATCGGAGCAGGGCCGCCCCGCCACGCCAGGAGGAGGCCCGCACCATGGCAGCCCGGCTGGGCGCGCTCGCCGCGTCGGGGCTCTACCGGCGGCGCCAGCACCGGCAGAGCCCGCCGCCCGCCGCACTGGGGTAGGTGGCCAGGGCTGGGAGGGGTCGGCAGGGACAATGGCCGGAAAGCCGTGGCTGCCGACCTTTCCTCGGACACCCGGCTTGGCCCTTCCGATGGCAGGAGCCTGTCCGCCCAGGGCGTGGGGATAGCGCCTGGGCTGGCGATATGGTTGGGGGTAGGGCGGGATTCATGTAGTGGGTTTGATGTCATCCTGGATCAACGTTCTTGGGTGGGACGCTGAGAATGGGGTGTTGGAGTTAGGCTGTCCCATGGAACTCCCATTACTGCTTGCAGACTGGGATCACTGTGTTGCCACTTTAGAGATGAACAAACAGTGGTGGAGGAACCTGCTGGACATCACCCATCCAAAAATGACTAGGCTGTGATCTGAAGCCAGTTTGGACAGACTCTAAAATCTGAACTGCTTTATCCCATGGAGAATTGCCAGTGTAGACAACTGATGAAAGCCTCTTTTGGGGCAGGAAGGGGAGCCTGTGGGGCTCAGGATGCAGCTCAGTGCTTGGGAAGAGATGAGTTAACTGGGGGTGAGGCGATCCGAGGGGAGGGTCCAAAGGGGCATGGAGATGGTGGTACAGCCACTGGTGTGGGTCTCAGGGGCTGGGGGCTGGGCTTCAGGGGCCATCAGGTAGAAACTTGTAGCAGAAAGTTGGGGAGAGAGTGATGAGGACTGTGAATGTGGGGTCATTGGCATGAAAGTGCCAGGTATAGCTCCAGAGGAGAAGGTGAGTGAGGAACAGTGGCAGAGGACCCTGAGGTTGGGAGGAAGGAGTGGGGAGTCAGGGAAGAGACAGGGAGTCACAGTGACAGAGGTGAGGGGGATCTGGAGGACCCAGGGATTAAAGGAAGTTGGGGGTGGCGCTAATGCTATGCTGGGAAAATCCAGCCTGCTCTGAGCTCACTGTGTCCCTATGATCAGAACAGCCTTCCGGAGAGGTAATGAGGAATGAGCGACCGGAGACATCTGGGGTAAATGACAGAGCAAGGAGCAGAGCATTGGGTGGGGGTGGAGGGGTGCAATACAGGCTGTAGAGCTGCCCCTGTTGCACACTTGGGATGGCAGTCCCCTTACACACCAGGATGGGGACTGGACAAGCCCATTGCTCAGGTGGGGAACGTGAGGCCAGGATGCCAAGAAACTCACCTGAGTGTGACAGTGCTAGAAGGGGAACCCTTACCGGTAGGCCTCTGGATGTCCTCGGACATGCATGGAGTGAGGTGTGGTGCAGGGAATGGCTCCCAGGGCATTGAGAGGCCAGAGACCATTCTGGAGAGAGATTTCACAGTATAGACAAGGCCAAGATGCAAGGAGGGCACATGGGCATGGTCATAAAAATCAGGCCTCAGGAAAGTCCTCTGCATGCAGGCACATACGTTTATATATACTTGTCTTTATTTTTCTGTGAATTTCTGGCTCATGCCCTCCTTCAGCCCTCTGTTATCAGTGGGACGGTTTTAAAGTGCACCTGCTTCCAAGTCAGAGAAGGCGCTGGAGTGAAGAGGTATGGCTAGGGCTGCAGGAAAAGCCATGTAATCTCCCACAAGCTCCAACCAGCCTGGGAAAATGTTCCTGGTGGGGTCAGTGCATTGTGTGGAGCAGCCCAAGGCGGCATTTCATTTTCCAGCGTTCCCCAGGCTGAGGGTGGAACTGGCTTGGTGGAAATTCTTGCAGCCAGGTACCCTCATGAGGGAGGAGGCCTGGGCGGTGCCTGGGGCAGCTTCCACTCAAGCTTCAGAGGTTATGCTGCTATGGGATCCCCCTTTGCTCCCTGTGCCAGGAACAGTGCCTGAGCACAGAGGAGGTTCTCAGTAAGGAAGTGTCACATGAAGGAGGGAAGGAATGGGACTGGCTGCTGTGATAGAGCCGTTCTGGGCTGTGCTTGCAGGTGTCACCTCACTGAATCCTCCCAGCTACCCATGAAGGTAGCTGTAGCTTCCTCGATGAGGAAGCCCTGGCTAAGGGCTTACTTTGAGCAAATAGCACAGCCAGGGAACACCTGAGCCAGCTCGGCAGCCTAGTTTGCCTGGCCGTACAGCACGTGCCTTGGACTCGTTGCCACTCAGCCCGATGTGGCCTCAGTAACACTGACTCATTCTCAAGTGTGAACGGACCACTTTGGCCAGCCTCTGCTTATTCCCAGCCCTCATCTTATCTTTCTAGGCTCAGATGGGTGGGAGGCTCGTGTGGGGCAGGGTCTAGGGTTGTTATTCTCTTCTTTCTATTTTTTTTTAAAGGTTTTATTTATTCACTTGAGAAAGAGAGAGAGAGTGAGAGAGCGCGCACAAGCAGGGGGAAGGACAGGGAGAGGGAGAAGGGGGCTCCTTGCTGCACGGGAGCCTGGCACAGGACTTTATCCCAGGATCCCAGGATCATAACCTGAGCCGAAGGCAGATGCTTAACCCACTGAGCCACCCAGGGGTCTAGGGTTGTTATAAAACAAAACAAAACAAAACAAAAAACAAAACAAAACAAAACAAAAAACAGAGTCTTGAATGGCTGTGCCTGTATAATGCTACCAGGAGCTAAGGGGACAGGAGAGAACATGGTCCAGTCCTGTGAGACCCTTAGCAGGTTACTGACCCTCTCTCTACTTCAGTTTCCTTATCTGGAACCAGCAACCTCTCCTCACAAGAAGTGGGCACAAAGAGGGCTCCCCCCACCCCAGCCATTATAATGTTCAGTGCCATCTCATCACCCAGTGAGCTTACAAACTGGCTTGTGTCGGGCTTTCAGGATTGAGAGTGTTTTGGGGTATTGGGAAGGGTTGGCGAAGAGGCACAGATGATGTGCTCTTGTACATTCTCTGGGCACCAGCTCTGCCTTCAGCAGCATTGAGTGTCGTCCAACCGGGGCAGGATGGTGATGTCTCCTTGGGGGATGCACTCAGCTGACTTGGTGCTCCCGTTCTTGGTTGGAATGTGTGAGGGAGGACGTGGAATGTCCATGTCTCCCACCCTTTGCTCTCTGGCAGGGAGTGCAGGCAGGCTGCAGGCCTTCTTCAGCACTGGGCTGGGGAGGAGGTGCTCTGAAGTCTCCCAGAGTTGCAGGGAAACAACAGCTCTCTTCACACAGTGCTTAGCATGCCTGGCCCTGGGCTTAATGCGCTGTATGCTGTGAGCTCTTCACCTTGGCTCTGTGAGGAGGTAATTGCTACTCTGGCACAGTTCTTTGCAGGTGAGGCGCAGAGAAACTGGTATCCTTTTCCAGGTCCCCCAGCTGATGGGGGGAGCTATTATGATTCAAACATGGAAGGGTGAGCCCGGAACCCCCTCTTGTGTCATTGCCTCCTGCAGGAGATGGCTGGCCATTCTCTCATGGTGACATGGTTTATTTGCTAGGCACATTTGCCTGTCTGTCCATCCCTCTGTCTTAGGCCAGTGGGTTGGAGTGTTGTCTGTGATCCTGAACAGGATGGCATGGGGATGCGGTCCCAGGAGTCCCTTGGGGGTGCTGCTGCCCCCCAGGACTTGGGCTGGAGCAGCCAGTGGGTGTGAAAGGTAGGTGGTCCCCTCCACACCCCACCTTCCACTGCCAGGGCTTGTGCAAGGCATGCGGGAGATAGACAGCAAAATCTTCAACCCGAGGCACCCAGGGACCCAGCCAGGGAACTAGACTCAGACCAGTTAAAGATCAGCTGCTCTGGCTAGGGGACCAGGTGAAGATGAACAGGAAGGTAAGGTGTGGCCAGCTGCTGTGGGGGTGCTGTTAGGGTCCTGGCCAGGAACACGGTCACCATGAGATGGAATCACAGAGGAGAGTTTAACAGAGGGTCTACTTAGCAAGGGCGGAATGTTGAAGTTTGGTCAAGTGCCTGGGCTAGCAGCAAGCAAGTGACAGTGGCTGCTGGGTGGGTCACCTATAAGGTGTGGCTTTGGCTGAGAAGGCAGCCGTCTGGAGGCAGTGGCTGGAGGTGGGAGTTGGGTGTGCCCCACTGGAGGCTAGAGGGCAAGGGGCCTTGGGAGGCACTGGGGCTTTAAGCTGCAATCCAAGAGCCTGGGGGCTGGACTTGAATCCTTGTTTTGGCTTCATTTTCTGGGTCCTTTGGGGAATTCCAGATCCAGGGTCACAGGATTTCCTGTTGATTTCTCACTTCTCCAAGACCAGTATGGTCTTATGCACAGCCGGGAGTTGGAACTTCCTCCCACCACCGTGGGTGTGTGCTGTAGGAGGGCAAGGCTGCGAGGCTCCCAGTGTTCCCCAGTGGGAAACCATGCCTGTGGTGATGAGTCCAGCCCAGCCCTCCATGGCGGCTTAGGTTGTCACTCCTCTGAGTCTCTGGCCCACCTTATGGAGACCTGCAGGGGGCTGCGGTGTGTATTGGGTTGGGGGCTGGTTGCCGCACGCAGACAGTGCCTTGCGTCTTGGGCTCTCCCTGACCCTGCCACCATCCTGCTTCCTTGCACCGGTGACCGGTACAAGGACAGAGAAAGTGGCTTTAGTCCCCAAAACACAGCTGAGGGCAGGCTGAGACATGCCTGGCAAGACTTCTGAAGAGCCCTCTGGCCCAGCCCCTTCCTGCCACATGGTTTCTAGGCTGAACAGAGAGGGAGTCCTGCCTGGAGCCCCCAGTCCAGCTTCAGCCTGTCTGGGTGCCAGCAGCTCCCCGTTAGACCCACTGTCCCTAACCCACCCCCAGACCCTGACCAGCAGAGCCCTCTCCCACCTCCTGCACTCATCCTGTTTAGGTAACCTTCCCTGTGATGGACACTTGAACACCCCAGCCAGAGCTTCACTCACTCGAGAATTCTTCTCATAATGCTGCAGCAGCAAGGCAGGGATGGGATTCATACCCTAGAAGGCAGAACAGGCTGGAAGGATTCTCAGGAGTAGGCAGCTTGTGTCTAGTCACTCTGTATGTCTACCTGATGTTGCTGGCTGCTTGAATGTCTCCTTGCTGAACATGACTGTCCTGCTTTGCCCAGATATCCAGGCACCATCCCAGCCCCCGCCCCACCCATCTGTCAGAGCTGACAATTGAGACAAAACCTATTTGCTGTCCTTATTGCAGAAGGCCTGGACGTCAGTATTTGGGAGGTCATAGAGGCTGTCAGTCTGAGACAGCTCTTCCACGCCACATCTCAGGGCCTTTCAGCATGGGCTTGGCTCAGTGTGGGCATTTCCCCCTTGTGGTTCAGTTTGGACTTTACTCCTTCCAGAAGGAAGCCTACCACTTACCCCAGGGGTGGTGTTGCCTACCCTGGATGAGGACATCTGCTCCCAGCCTGCTCCTATCCCAAAGATTCCCACTCTCACTTGCTCCATGGTAAGGTGGTTACATGTTTTTTGAGGCAGGTGGTTTGCAACTGGCTCCTGGTGCAGAGGAAAGAGCCACTGAAGTCTGAGCAATCTGGATTCAAATCTGGACTCTGTCATCTGCTGTGTGAGCTTGGGCAAGTTACTTAATCTCTCTGAGCCTTAGGTCTCTCATCTGGAGGGCAGGGTTGCCTCAGGGATTAAATGAGTGGATTACAGAGCTACCGATTTATGCCTGGGTGAAGTTCTATATCTGGGAGACTCTGGTTCCCTGAGAAGAGGCGATAGGAGGTATAAGAGGGAGCTGAGGTGACCACAGATACCCCAACACGTGGGCCAGCATGATGAAGACCGAGCCTAGGAACCAAGCACAGATGTTGGCAACTACTGCACTGTCCTTGTGGGGGCTTACTGTGGGCCAGACATGCTGCTGGGTGCTGGCACATGCCCCTCATCTAACTGGCCTGTAGCCCATCTTCTGGTATTTCCATGGCTGGGAGTCTAGACCCAGAGAGTGAGGTCAGCCCAGGCCACCATGAGGGTGCTGGTCTTGAGCCCTCACTGCTCTGACGGGTGTGTGCCTGGCTATGTCCTGGCCATGTCTGATGCTCCATAGATGTGCATGGGGACTCTAGGGCATCCGAAAAGATGGGGGCTTTAGAGTCTGGAGGGGTGCTGGTTTCTAATCCAGGCTTTGCCTCCACCCACTGTGGCCCTCAGGAAGAACACTAACTCTCTGCAGGCCTTGGCTGGTCCATGTATAAAATGGGGATGCTGCATTGGCCTGGTAGGGTTGTCGTCTGGGAATACATACTATAGACTGGTGTGTGCTGGCACTTAGGATGCCCACAGGACACAGAAGCTTCGATGCATGTGTAGGCCAAGCCACTGCCAGGCAGCTCAGCCCCGACTGCATGTTGCTGAGTCCCCACAGTGCCAAGACTGTCATTAGGGTGAGGACAGCAAGTTCCCTCACTCTGGAGAGCATTTTAACTTTTTTTAAAAAAAGATTTTATTTATTTGACAGACAGAGATCACAAGTAGGCAGAGAGGCAGACAGAGAGAGAGAGGGGGAAGCAGGCTCCCTGCTGAGCAGAGAGCCCGATGTGGGGCTCGATCCCAGGACCTTGGGACCATGACCTGAGCCGAAGCAGAGGCTTTAACCCACTGAGTCACCCAGGTGCCCAAGCATTTTAACTTTTTAAGGAGGGAGGTGTGCCCCTTGAGTGCAGCTCCCCAGGCTTGCTTGTCTTTGCCCCTTCCCAGGCCTGACCTGTCCACCCCTTCTCCCCCCAGCAACATGTCCAACGCCTTGGCCAATGCGGTGTGCCAGCGCTGCCAGGCACGCTTTGCCCCTGCCGAGCGGATCGTCAACAGCAACGGAGAGCTGTACCACGAGCACTGCTTCGTGTGTGCCCAGTGCTTCCGGCCATTCCCCGAGGGGCTCTTCTATGAGGTGAGCACACGGCCAGAACCCTCGGCCAGACTGCCGTATTGGAGCCCGAGCCCCCCCACCAGCTCAGAGCATGCTTCCTAGGAGCCAACGGGCTGTGCCAGCCATGGTCCCAACCAGTGACTGATAAGCAGTCAAGCCAGGTCTGCCCTTTGTGGGCGTGTCTTCACTTGTGAAGCTGTGAAGGAGAGTCACTATTCATCCAGCTTCCTCTGGGTAGACTCTGGGAGGCCATGGGACGCAAACACCCAGCTCTGGCAGCACATACCCTCCTTTGAGAGCAGACAGTGAACACAATAAATATATGGTATATCAGATGGTGCTCAGTGCTCTGGGTACAGGGAATCGGGCTGCGGAGGGAGGGTGGTCAGGGAAGATGATGTTTGAGCAGACCTGAAGGAGGTGAGGGAGCCAGCCTACATTTGCAAGAAGAGCATTCATCAGAGAGCACAGTCAGGTGCAAAGGCCCTGAGGTCAGCGCATGCAGGGTATTTGAGGGTTGCCAGAGGCAGTCTGTCTGACAGCTTGAAAAGGACCACTCTCCTTGCTGTGCTGGGGAGAGACAAATATGGGCAGGCACAGAAGCTGGAGAACAGGTGGGACCAGAAGCTGGATTACTGAAAAAACCCTGATCAAGTGAAGTGGATCTAGGCTGGGTCACACTGCCTCATAAGAGCAGATTATTTAAATTTTCAATAATCTTTCCAACTAGTGGTTAAACATAACTCTTATTAAAAATTAAGTTATATAAATGTATAGTGAAATAAAATTTTATTGGAAACAAGGGTAACACATACTCAAAACTCACCACTTCCTAATTATTTTATTACATTTTCCTATCATCTGTGCCTTCGAAGTTATTTGTCTCTTGTACCTGGGTGGTGGAAATGTACCCTGATGGCTGCCGCACGATATGTGCTGATGTTGTGTTGGGAGCCTGACATTGTCCGTGGCAGGAATTTTCACACCATAGAAACTGGTAAATGCTACAGAGCAGATCCCGTCTTCCAAAGGGCTAGTTGGTCATCATTTACCAGTGTGCCACTGGTGGTTGCAGTGGAGGTGGTGACCAGGTCTCAGAGACCAGAGAGGCTTCGAAGGTACAGCTGACGGGATGGACAGATGGACGGCCGTGCAGTGTGTGAGCTCCTATTGGCAGCATTGGAGACTTCCAGCCTCTTGGGAAATGCTGACCCACTGTAGAGGCAGGGGGAGGAGAGGCTGAGCTCTGTTTGTGGTGACCATGTGCCTAGAACAAAGCCTGGCACACAGTAGGTGCTCAGGAAAGAGTCGTTGCTGAATGAAGTTCACGCCCTGCTGCCTCTGCGGGCCACTGTGTAGGGCCATATTCAGTTGCAGATTAATAAGATGCTCATTTCAGAGAAGAGGACAAACCAACCTTTTTTAAAAAGAAAATTGTCAAGGGAGAAGAAATCAGGGGCAGGGCTTGGCCACACTTGGGACCATGGCAAGGCCATCATTGTCCAGGCAGATGGGGACAGTGGCTGGTGCCTGGAGTGGCTCCTGCTAGCTGCAGGACTTGGGGTGGAGTCCCTCAGGCCCCCATGTTTTTCCTGTGTCCCTCTTTCCATCTCCCTCTCCGGGTATCTTGTGGCCTCTGGGGGAAATGGACTTCTCACATAGAGAAGATACACAGGAAATAGGGCCAAGTGACATTTATAAACCAGACTTGGTCCCAGCCCTCGGCTCGCTCCCAGGACCAGCAGGGCCAAGGTCTTGTGCAAACAGCAGTGGCTTTTAAGGGCTGGCCTTGCCCAGTTCCCAGCTTCTTGGAGACCCCTTACTTTGCACGCCCGCCCTGTGGTAAAGGCCCATTCCTGCTGATTCCCTCCCATCTCCAGGCCTTGGCCCAGCTGCTCTGGATTGCCCTCCTCTCAGCACTCCAACCCCTGCGGTCTTCCAGCTCCTTACCACCTCCTCTAGAAAGTCTTCTCCGCAGGGAGGGTTGGGTGCCGCACCCAGTTTCCTGTCACAGTAGCAATTGCACAAATTCGGGTGCCTTTCTAGCTTTCCTGAGGGTGGGTCCTGATCCAACAAAGACCGGCCAGCTGGAGGGGAATGATGGAGGTTTGCTTGAACATTCTCTGCTGGTCCATTTGCAGTTCGAAGGCCGGAAGTACTGCGAACATGACTTCCAAATGCTGTTTGCTCCATGCTGTGGATCCTGCGGTAAGGGCTGGATGTAGCGCACTCCTCTGCATGCCTAGGGGGTTGGGCCGGTAGGAGGGAGCACAGGTGCTCTTCCCCATCCCCTCTCTGAGCACCAGCTTTCTGGAGGCATCACCTCCCTAAGCTCTGGGAGGGGAGCCCTGGGATCAGGCTGAGCTCAGGCGAGTGCCAGTGTGGGCAGGGCTTCAGAGGGAGCTGGGAGGGGGACACGTGCCTGCCTCAGTGATCTGGGACCCTTGTCTTCCAGGTGAGTTCATCATTGGCCGTGTCATCAAGGCCATGAACAACAACTGGCACCCGGGGTGCTTTCGCTGTGAGCTATGTGACGTGGAGCTGGCTGACCTGGGCTTTGTGAAGAACGCAGGCAGGTGAGGTGGGCCGGATCCTGGCTAGGAGGTGGACCCTCACCAAATGCACTGCTTAGTGCCTTAGTGCCTTAGTGCCAGGCCCTGCAAGGCCTGGGCCCATCTGCAAGGCAGCTGAGAGACCCTGGTTTATAGGTGAGGGCTGGGGCCAGAGAGAGTAGGGGGTGACGAGTCAGGGACTGCCTCAGGCCTGGGCTTGCTCCCAGAAGCAGGCTGACAGCAGGCAGTGAGGAGGTAGCTGGCTGGGGCAGGGGCCATCAGAGGCAGTGGATGGATAAAGAGCTTTGGGTCATCACTATTGCCTGGCCAGCCCTTGCTGCTGAGCGGAGCTGCCTGCCTCCTTCCCTGTGCCCCTGACTAAATGCTGCTGGAGAGAAATCACTCAGCCAGGGGGCCCGAACTGACTCTGGCACTCTGTGCTAAGTTTCCTTTGTAGACTGAGTTCCCTTCTTCCTGGAGGACTGGCTCTTTTCTCCCTGCACTGTCTCTTTCCCCTCCACCCTTCTAGAGTGAGGACCTCCGAGGACCGAGGGGAAGGCTCCCTGCCCTGGTGCTGCCCAGGCCTCAGTCACAGTGCCCCATGGAGGCCCTGTCCCTGCTCCACCTTCTCCAGTGGATCTCTCCGCTGCAGTCTGCGCTGCTTCTCCCAGAGCTGTCCTCCCATTGTGGCTGTCTGCGGCATGTTCCAGTGTCCTTGCTGGCTCCTCTCACGTGCCCCGCACTGCCAGTCAGGTCCATCCCCATGACCTTCCTCCTCATTGCCAGACCCACGGGTCACCACGGTCCTCTCTTGACCTCTCAGTGGGCTTCACGGCAGCTTTTTCTTCTTGCTGAAATGCCTCCTCTCCAGGCACCCAGGACCCTGTGTTCTCGTGGTTTCCTCCTGCCTGGTGGCTGTGCTGGGTCCTCTCCTCTTCTGACTTCCCTCCACCTGTCTCTCCATGTTGGCTTGCTGGGGGCTCAGCACCTGGGCCTCATCTCTGTCCAATGTCCCAGAACCCCGACTGGCATGCATGCACTGGATGATTCAGATGTCCACCCCCACTCCAGACCTTTCCCTCCGGTTCTCAACCACTTGGCGCCCACTGGGCATCCCAAAGGCAACAGGCCCCAAACAAACGCTGGCCTCTCCTCCGCTGACCAGCAGGTCTCCTCATGCAGTGAAGGTGGCCGCCTACCCTAGCTGAGAGTCCCCCGCCCTCTTCTACCTTGTCACCTCTCTGTTCTCTGCCACTGTACCGTTTGCTCTGGGTGCAGCCTGCAGTGATCTCTCCCATTCTCCTGCTGCGTGTTGCCTGGTGTCGGTCTTGGTGTCTGTGGGCCGCTGGGCAGGGGTCCCTGTCATTGTCTACAGAAGGGGCTGTGGAGGGGAGGTGGTGTCCCAGCGGTCCTGCGCCGATCGGGGGTTGCCCGCCAGGTATGGGCCTGAGCGAGTCCTCTCTCCTGAGCTCCAGCTCACATGGAGCTGCCTGTGGCAGGAGAGGCTGGGAAAACCCGGGAGAGGCTGGAAGCGCTCCGAAGTAAGGTGCTGCTGTGAAGAAAGTGTGGCCGCACCGCAGAGACCCTCCTCGCCCGGGGCTGCCCTCTGAGGCCTGTGGTGCAGAGTGTGAGTGTGCACGTGGGGCAGGCTGCGGGGGCGTCTGATCCAGAGGCAAAAGCAGGTGCTGCCTGGCCTCTCCAGTCCTCACCTCGGCTTTGCCACTCTTGGGTGGGAGGGAGGAGTAGTTCTGGGAAGGGAATTATGTCAGCCGAACACAATAACCTTCAGAATCTTAAAGTACAGTTATGTTTACAATCAGTGTGATCAGGTACAAAAGGGGACCTGGGCCTCGCCATGGCAGGTAGAACCTCTCAGGAGGCAAAGGACACCGCTGCTGGTCTCGGTTAGTGGGACACAGGGTCCCATGCCAGGCGTGGGCTCCCTGCTGGAGGTGTCCTGAGACGAGGACAAAGCCCGGCTGCCCCGTCTGTCCACCCCTGCCGGCTGCTCAGCTGACTCAAGAGGGATCAGGCAGCTGCTGAGAAGCCATGGGGATTGTCAGGCCTTGCGCAGCGAGCAAGGACCCAGCCCTGAGTTGAGGAGCCCAAAGGCCGCGCTTGTTGGATGTCATTTGCTGGCCAACCCGAAATGTACCTGAAACACTCAGTTACAAGTTACCGTCCATGTCCCCTGAACTCAGGGGTCATCTGGCAAAGGTGCCACCCAGGAAACTCATACTCCTTCCCCTCCATCAGGATTCCCACACCCCCTTCTCTTGAGTCATTCGCAGCTGCCGTCTGGGGTTCTTTCTGCAGAGCTCTGCTGCTGTGTGTTTCTCGGGAAGGAGATTGGGAGTCTAGCAAGCAGCCCTTGGGGAAGAAAGACACTCATTGTTTGGGAACTGTTCCTCTGGCCTCCTTGCCCCGCCTTGCCATGGGGTGAAGTCACTGAGTATCCAGTAACTGTAAGTGAGCAGGGCCAGCACAGTCTTTGCAGGGGGTGGGTGGCTGATTGTTTCCATGGAGGGGTGTCCTCTTTTAGGGATTTGCACATGAGATAAGACAGAACCAGTTACTGGGTGCTGAGTTCCGCCCTTGGAGAGACTGGGCTTCTTCATCACGAGTCTGGTGGCGTGCACCCTGAGGTGGGGTGGGGAGGTCCTTCTGAGGACAGTCTGTGGCACTGGGGCCCAGGGCTGGCGTCCGGGGGCTCACAGCTCTGACCTGGCACTCAGTGAGCTCTCATTGGTTTTCCCTTCAAAGCTGGGGGGTGGGCCTGAGAGCCTTTTGCCACAGACCAGGTTGCACAGGGCATCGCGGAACTTCTCAGCCACAAAGAAGTACATGACTGGGTCCAGTGCCCCGTTGAGGCTGGTGAGGCAGGAGGTGACGCGGTTTCCCAGGGCCAGGATGCGCTGGGTGGCACATGAGGTCCCTCCGCCGTGGTAGCGCAGCACGTAGACGGAGCGGTGCACGTGGTAGGGCACGAAGCAGACCAGGAAGATGGCGAGCACCACGGCGATCATGCGGACCGCCTTGTTCTTGAGGCGCTTCTCCACGCGAGGTCCCTGCCGCAGGCTGCGGATGATCAGCAGGTAGCAGGTGACCGTGGTGACAAACGGGAAGGTGAAGGCCACAGCCAGGGACACGAGGGCGTGCTGGGAGGCCTTCTCCCGGTACAGCTGCAGGCAGATGACCGTGTGGTTGGTCTGCACGGTCTGCGGGCTCACCAGCAGCGGGGCCATGGCTACGGCCACTACTACCCAGAGGAAGGCGCAGGCCAGGTGTGCATAGAGGGGCCTGCGGAGCTTAAGGGACTTGACGGGGTGCACGATGGCCAGGAAGCGGTCAGCGCTGATGCAAGTGAGGAAGTAGATGCTGGCGTACATGTTGAGGTAGAAGAGGAAGCCGGTGAGTCGGCACGGGATTTCCCCAAATGGCCAGTGGTTCCCAGAGAAGTGGTAGACGAGGCGGGTGGGCAGGACCAGCACACAGGACAAGTCGGCCACAGCCAGATGCATCAAGAATACGTTGGCGGGGGTGCCTGACTTGTGGTCTCGGATGAAAAGCCACAGGGCCAGGGCATTGCCAACAAAAGCCAGGATGAAATCCAGGAGGTAGAAGGAGGCGAAGAGGACGTTCTCCAGTGGCGTCTCCTGGCCACATTGCTCTGAGATGACCAGGGAGGAGTTGGCGGTCAGACCTGGGGAAGCCACCTCCAGGCCATTCATGCTTCAGCCGGAAGCAGAGCCAGGGGACAAGCCTGGAGGGAACAAGCAGACAGGTTCCAGAGCCTGGGACCTGTGAAGCGTCTTAGTTTGTCATCACCTTGGGGACTACTGACAGCAGTCCCTGTGTTCATCTGGGGTGGGTAAGTATCAGAGGCTTTCTGAAGCTCAGCAAAAAGCAAAAACAAAGCCAGGGCCTAGAGCTTGCTAGCCTGCTGCTGGGGCCGGCTTCCCACTGGCCACTGCATCCCTGCCATGTGCACAGGAGCCTGGGTCCCCCTGGGTGTCATCCCAAAAGTCCACTCTCTCAGACCATGGGGACAGTGGAGAGTGAATCCCATCTGTCTGGGCTCTGAGGTGGAGGGAAGGCCCCACATTTTCTGCCATGCTCCCCAGGTGTGCTTTCTGAATGCTAGGGGGTGGTGCGAGAGGCCTTTGAGCTCCAGTCCCGATGGGCATGGTAGATCGCCCCTTCCCTCCCTCCCTCCCTTCCTTCCTTCCAGATTGATTTATTATTTGAGAGAGGAGAGAGAGCCCAAGTGGGGGGAGGGGCAGAGGAAGAGAGCCCTCAAGCACTCGCCCTGCTGAGCTTGGAGCCCAGTGCAGGACTTGATCCCGGGACCCTGAGATCATGACTTGCCTGGGCAGTGTCTACAGAGGGGGTGGATGCCTGGCAGACTCTCACTCGCAGGGCAGCTTCTGAGGCTCCCCTGGAAGGCCCACCTGTGTGACTGCCATGCAGAGGGGCAGGAGAGGGGCTTGTGGGAGGAAAGCTACAACCCAGCTGCTGGAGGAGGAGCACCGGCTGTGGCCATGGCATGGTCAGGGCTGTTGTCCTGGCTGAGCCTGGCTCTGTACTGAGCGCTCGGGGAGCCAGAGCAAGTTCTCTGCAAGCGTCCCCTGGCTTCGCTTCCCTCAGGAAGCCTGGTGGCAGCTCTGTCAGCACAGCAGCCCCTCGAGGATGAGGAGGCTGGGCATGGCTGAAGAGCAGATGCGTGTGGGGAGGGCCCGGCACACCCGCCTTTAGTAGACAGAGCAGGGCAGGTGGTTGAGACTGTGGGTGTGCTGGGCTGTCAGGCTGGGCAGCGGCTTGACCCTCCCCATCAGGCTTCATCAACCACCACTTGGGTCCTGTAGGGACCCCGCCACCCCCGACAGCATATACATGAAAGGGAGAGGGTGGCTGCCTGAGCAGGAGAGAGCCAGGGACAATGTGGGGGAATGGCAGAGAGCCTCTGGCCTATAACCATCCTCAAGTAAAGGGGGTTACTTTCCTAGTATTGAAGGGACCCAGGAAGTTCCCGAATGATCTCCCCTGCTCCAGAGTGGGTCAGGATGCCTGAGATCCAATACAGAGAAATTATTTTCCTGCTGTTTCCAAGTACATGTGACCTGAGGGGTTGTTGCCAGGGAAGCCCTGGCTGCTGGGAGAGGGGATGGGGCCAGGCAAAGGAAGGGTGGTATGGAACACGGGGCTGGGTTTGCTCTCCTCTGGGCTGCCCCTCACACCTGGACTCTGCCCCTCAGGGCAGTTGTCACCCAGCCCCTCCCTGAGGGCTGCTCATGGGTACTGGCTATCCACTCCAACACTCCTAGGAGGCAGGCATTGGTAGTCTCCTTTTATAGATTAGGGATTAAGAAGTCAAGGCTTAAAGACGGCTGACTTGACCCAGGTCATTTGGCCAGAGACAGTGGCCCTAGATTTGGAAGTAAGCTCAGGGACACCTAGCAGGGACACCCAGCACCTCCCGGAACACTGCCTTGCCTCTGTGGGTGGCTGGGTGCCGGGTGCCAGTGCTGGGACTGTGGCTCGGCCTCAGGGCTCATGCTGGAATTGTCCCCCAGGCTCAGGGGCACCTCCTTGGGGTCTGGCCCCAGGACTGGTAATGTAATTTTTGGCACCCAGTGCAAAATGAAAACGTGGGGCCCCTTGTTTAAAAAGTAGGAGTTTCAAGATGGAGATAGCAGAGCACTACATCGATTGTGGGGCCTGCCCGGCTGCACTGGTTGGTGGCCGTGCCAGCCCCTGGCTGTTGGCCTCCTGCCCGCTGCCCTCAGCTTCCCACTAGTGCCGAACGCCACATGCATGGTGCTCTATCTGGGATCTAGACTCAATTTTAGAATGCTTTTAGGCTTGTTTCTGGTTTGTTGAGGTTTCTGTAGCTCTCCCATTTTGGGATTCTTGATACTGATTTTTGCAGCGTGGTCTGAAATGGGCCCCTCTCTGCATACCCCAGACCTGCAAGCTTCTGCCTGCCGTCGCTGGCTCTCCCTGTGGCGCTGCTCAGAACAGGGTGGTGTGGGCACGTGGAGCATGCCTGGGCCTGGACATTGGGGGCTCTGGGGCTATGGGAAAGCCATGCTTCAGGGGACAGGTCTTGGGCCTCCATGAAAGGGAGGAGTGGGCAGGCGTGGCCTTAGGAAGGGGCCCAAGGTAGCTGTGGTAGGTGGGCATGGCTGTTTCCTCGCATGGCCTGAGACCTCTTCTTCCCCGCTTCTCCTTCCGGCTGCTCCCTGTGCTACGGTATGCTAGTGGAGGAGAGCATGGGTACTGATTCCAGCTGACTGTCATCGCAGTCGCAATGCTGTGCACGAGGCACTTGCCCTCTCTGTGTACCTGACAGTGCAATGGGAGTACCACCTAGAGGGACCACTGTGACTCAGACCAGGGCAGCCTTTGATAAATAGGTCATGCTATTATCCCAGAGAGTGCCTCAGGGACAGAGATACTGCCCATCCCTGCCCGCGCTCTGAGTTTGCCTCTGCTTGGCTCCCGAACCCCCTGCCTGCCCGTACCGGACTCTGGTCCTTACCTCTCACAGCCGGGTCCAGGTGCAAAGGCAGGAGGGCTACAGGGTGGCAGGTGGGCTGTGGCCAGTGGCTGGGGGTGCTGGCAGTGGGCTCCGTGCCGCTATGGTGGAAGGCTGGCTATTTAAGGAGAGGAAGGGAGGCTGCAGCCCCTCTTGGCCCTGAAAGGCCGCTTCATTCCGAGAGGTTCCTTGTGTGATGGGCCACTCCTACGGCTGTCTCTGCTGCCACTGGGTCGTGAATATTCCAGTGTGTCCCAGCCTGCAGTCACCCCCCCACCCCGGCCGACCAGCTTGGCCACTAAGCGTCACAGAGGCCAAGTGTGTGACTATGTTCGAAGCTGTGGAGTGGGCGCGGGCTGGGCGGGGTGGAGGGGACTGGCTGGGACGGACAGAGACAAGAGGACGTTTCAGCACAGGATAATTTCCTAACAGTGGGGGCAGGGAGGGGCTGGCCACCATGGCAACGGGCCTGGGCTCCCAAGCCTGCTGGGGGACAGTAGAAGGGGTCTTGTGAATGGGGAGGGTGGGAGGCTGAGGAGACTCTTTCAGGACACTTGCTGTAGGGTCCTTGTGTCTTGCCCCGTATAATTAGGCTCCGTTCGGACGTGCGGAATAAATCATGGCCTTTATCTTGAGCAGGGCACAGCTGCAAGCCGCCTCATAATGGGGCGCTGTCTGTGCCCGTGGGACGCGGCTCAGCCTGCGAGGCCTGGCCCTTACCTGTGCGGGCTCCTCCTCTGGACAGGAGGCCTGTGAGGAGGGCCACAGTGGTCCACTGCCTAGGAGTCCCCAGGTCTCCTCCTGGGGGTGGCTTGAGGCTGGGGGCGGGGGTCGGGGTGTGGGCAGTGGCTGCTCCTGACACTGAACAAGCAAAGCTCATTTGTCTCTGTCTTCCCCCAAGTGATGTATCCGGTAACACGGGGAACCAAATCAGCATGCCTAACCTCAAAAGACCTGTACATTTTTTAGTTAAAAAAAATGTACTTAGCTATCGTTGGGGAGTAACTACCATGTGAACTATCTTAAATTTGTTTTTCACACAGTCCCATGCAGTCGGGATTGTTGCCCATTTTACAGATGGGAAAACAGGCTCAGAGAGGTGAAGTCACTTGCCAGGAAGTGGCAGAGCCGGGATTTGAACCAAGTACATGCCACTCCAAAACTTACGATTTGTGTGGGTTAATGTTTTGGTTCATTCTGGTTTTTCTTTTGTACCTTGATGCTTGAATTCTTAGGTACTGTCTTCATTCTACCTAGAAAAAAATTCTGCAGATTGTCCTTAGATCTGGTACGGGGATCTAGTCTGTTGGAAAGATGTTTCCCTGTGTGCCTGGATGGCTCAGTCAGTTAAGCGTCTGGCTTTGGCTCAGGTCATGATCTCGAGGTCCTGAGATTGAGCCCCACATTAGGCTCCCTGCTTAGCGGGGAGCCTACTTCTCCCTCTCCTCCCTCTCTCAAATAAATAAATAAAATCTTAAAAATAAAAAAAAAAAGATGTTTCCCAGATAGGGTTCCTTGTGGGGCACTGGGCTCCTCAGTTTGTTCTCGGCTGGGAGTCAATGACCAGGGCCCGGCCCCTCCCCTACGCTGCCTCACGTGGAGGTCCGGAAGGACTAGCTCACATCCATTTGACGCGAGGGTGTCTGGCTTCTTCTGTTGTTGGGTGATTGCTGACAGTAGCTGTGAGGGCATGATTGTTGCAGCAGAATTGTGGGGGGTTGGGCTAATTTCTATATCTTTGGAACAGAAGTCATTCTGTATGGCTTGAGTGATGTCATAACGCTAATAGTAGTTACCAAAATTGGGATTGGGGTCGTAGGGCATAAATGCTGTGTCTGTGACAGAGGCACAAGCTGGTGGCAGGTGTGGTGTGGAGAGCGTGAGCCACGGTAGTCTGGTGGCTGGGGGAGCATCTCTGCTCAGACCTGCTGTGGCAGAGGGTCTGGGGGTCTGGGGGAGGAGGTGGGGACAGGGATCTGGGGACCGAGGGGGCAAAACCTTAGTCAGGGAGATGAAGACTGCAGCGACAGGCCACATTTGTATCCCATGGGTAGGTGGAGTCGGGGCCCTGGTGAGGGGCCGGCTTCCAGTACTGGTCTGGCTGTACTGTCATGGGAGATGGTACCCACTGTCTCTCCCTTCCTCTCTTCTACAATCATTCATTCACTCATGTACTGGAGACTCAGCCTGAGCTGCTAACCTGATTGGGCACAGCCTGCAGCCTGTCAGCAAGTGGCTACCGGGCACTCATTTGGGCCCCTTGGCCTTCCCACCCACCAGGGAGATAAAACACAAACAAGGCAAGCAGACAGCAGTGTTGTACTGCGGGAGTCCAGACCCCAGTGAGGTGGCAGACATTGGGGTCAAGGCCATGGATAGTCAGTGGGGCTTCCTGGTGTCTAGGATCTGCCCATCACACCTGGTTGGAGGATCCTGAGTCTGAGAGTTAATCTCTTAACTAGAGTTCTTGATCTGCCCGTAAAAGAGGCTGACTGTGGGTGTCAGGTCCCTGTGGAGGCTGCTGAGGGGTAGAAAACCTCCCTGTGGATGGGTGCCTGGGAAGACAGGAAGGGAGGGCCCGGATGCATCAAGAAGGCTTACAGACTGGGGCGGCAGGTGGGGGATGGGAGTAATGGATTGGGGCCTTTGTACATCTTTGCTTGGGGACCCTGAATCTAAATTCCCGCCACCTTTGAGGCACAAGGAAACAGAAACCATGTTGATTTCTCTCTCAGTAGAGATCACAGCTGTTGCCCAATGCAAGGAGTAGCATCAGAAATTACTCTGAGTTCTTTACAAAAAAGACTCTGTAATGATAGTTCCTGGGTTTGGGGGCCTCTGTCTGACACAGCTGTGCTTGTCTTTGGAGACAGAAAGCCTGTAGAATTACGGTCCCTCTTTGTCTGACAGACCCCAAAGGAAGGGGTTGTGTAGGCCAGATGGACCTGGCCCTCTGTGGTCTTCTGCTGAGCACAGCAGGGTTTTCAAGCTAACAGTCACGATTCAGTTACACGCCCACGTTCAAAGATATTTGAAAATGAAATTTTATCTGCAGCAAATGGCAATGAAATGTCTATTCTATTCCATACAATGTCCTAGGCTCAGAAAAAGTGGGGAGAAGAAAACTATCACATTTGCTCTACCATCCAAAGTCGGCAAACACCAACATTCTGGTGTATTTTTGTTTTCCAGTGCCAGAGTCCTTTTTGGTAAGGGCACGGCTGTAGGCTTCATGGCCGCAGGATTAGTTAGCTTGCCTTTCTGGACCACTGGCTGAGCCTCTTGAGGCTTATGGGCACTGTTAAAGCTGCAGGCGGGAGCCCAGGGACCTCTTCTCCCAGGAGGTGAACCATGCTATGTGGGGAGGAGAGGGGGAGTGGGCAGTTGGCACCTAACACTTGCCTCACTTCCCACAGGCACCTGTGCCGGCCTTGCCACAACCGGGAGAAGGCCAAGGGTCTGGGAAAGTATGTCTGTCAGCGGTGCCATCTGGTCATTGATGAGCAGCCCCTTATGTTCAAGAATGATGCCTACCACGCGGACCACTTCAGCTGCACCCACTGCGGGTACGTCCACAGTGGAGTTCCTGTGCCAGGGGCAGGTGGTGAGGTGGGCAGGACCTGCACCCAGGGCAGTGAGGGGACAGGAGGGGTGGACCAGTCTGAGAAAGGTGAGGGGCAGACATAGAGGGCATCGCTGCAGGAAACGGCTCCCTCTGGGCCCCCATTCAGGGAGCCCCTTGCATGAAGTCCCGCTGGACACAGGGTGAGGGAGGGCTGGGCCCCTGGAAGCTGGGAGGAAGGAATCAAAGGCTTTGAGGGCCAGGGCAAGGAGGAGGGGTTGGTGCTGGTGTTGGAGAGGGGAGGAGAAAGGAAAGAAGCTGCGGAGGATTCCCTCATCCCTGCCCCAGACACCCAGTCTGGTGCGGAGGGGCCGAGAACAGATCTGCTTCTCAGAGGGCCCGACAATGCACAACACAGACTGCCTTCTGCGAGGCCCTTGCGGGAATCTTGTGCCCTGGGGCCTGTCTGGGGCACAGGAAGTCCCTGAAGAGACCAGAGATCAAAGAGCTGCCCACCCTGGGCACTGTTTTGGACCAGAGTGGGTCCTCTCTGGAAGCTGCTCCCTGGGGCTGGAGGGGCTGGTGGGACCCACCAGTGCCAGGGCGGGCCCTGCAGCGGGGCAGCGATGTCACCTGCGGCTCTGCTCTGTCTCCCAGGAAGGAGCTGACTGCAGAAGCCCGAGAGCTGAAGGGCGAGCTCTACTGCCTGCCGTGCCATGACAAGATGGGTGTCCCCATCTGTGGGGCCTGTCGTCGGCCCATCGAGGGCCGTGTGGTCAACGCGCTGGGCAAGCAGTGGCACGTGGAGGTGAGCAAGGCCAGGAGGTTGGGGGGTGCCCCAGGCTCATTGTTATATGTGGAGTCTGGCCCTGCAGCCCTTCCACGCTCCCACCCCCAGGCCATGGAGCTTGCTCCCAGCAGGGACCCTCCTCCTTGATGCTGCCCCTCTTCATGCCTGGCCTACCCTGGGAGACAGGAGACCTGAGTGCACAGACCACGGTCAGGCAGCTGTGCCCACCTACTTTCCTCCCCCTCTTGGCCTTCTAGAGGATTCCAAAGTCATGAGAGAACCTCAGGGACAGTCTGCTCAAGACACCCCGTGGGGTTATGGTTGGCAGAACTGGCTGTGTCCGGCCGCATAGAGACATGGAAGCTGGGCACACCTGCTGGCTTAGCTCCTCGGGTGTGTCTGCCTGGGTCACCTGGAGCATTCACCTCTACCCTGCGGGCTCTCACAGTCTTAAAGATACTAGCTGGAAGGGAGGCTTCTGTTCCCTGATGCCCTGGCTAGGTCTGTGTCCCAGAAGCTGTCTTGGGTGGCCTCTTTGGAAAGGTTCTGATGCAGGCCCTGTCCTGGTCCCCAGCCCCCTGTGAGGAGGGCAAATCCCCACACACCACAGGAACTGGAAGATGCTGCTCAATGACCCGGGGCCTGCAGGGGATGCCCACGGGAGGCAGACACATGCGGTCTTCCGGGGAAGCACCCTGCGTATAACAGAGGAGCCCCCGTGGGGAGGTCCCACCACGCCCCAGGCACCTCACCAATGCCTGACAATATGGGCGGAGTTTGGTGGCCTGGGGGGCAGCCCTGGAGAGGATGGCAATGCGTGTCACTGTGCATTGGGGAAAGAGTGGGACCTGCTCACTCATGGGAGGTCCATGGTGATATCGATCCCACTGCCCAGTGGGGAGCCCACTGAGGCACTCCATCCCATGGGCCACTGTCTCCCAGGGTGGCTGCTCCAACCTTAAGCTGCCCTGACTTCCCCCTGTCCTCTCAGCACTTCGTCTGCGCCAAGTGTGAGAAGCCGTTCCTAGGGCACCGGCACTATGAGAAGAAGGGTCTGGCCTACTGTGAGACCCACTACAACCAGGTAGGGCCTGGGAGCAGAGAGTGGATGGCTGGGGCCTGCGGAGGCCCAGGTGTGGACAGCAGCTGTGGGGCTGTGGGGAGCCCTCAGGGAGGTGATGTGGTGTGAGCGCCTGGAACGCTGCATGCACCCATCTGGGCAGGAGAGGACGAGGGCAGCCCCTCAGAGCCCTCGGTGGGTGTGGAGGCTGGGCTGTGTGCTCAGTGTCATTTGAGACACTGACCCAGACCTGCCATGGGAAGTGAATGAGAGGTCTCTGTGAGGTCCTGGGCTCATGGGGGTGACCTGTGCTGCCATCCTTCTCTCTCCTGCCAGTCTGGCAGAGCTGCCCAGTGGCTGTGGTCCAGAAGTTGGGGGTATGGCCCTGGCCCAGCCTTCTCATGGACACCAGCAGGAGCAACGGGCCCACCCTGGCAGGAAGGGCCCAGGAGTCTTGGGAGGATGCCTGAGAGCAGCTGTTTGGGGTGGGATGGGGGCCAGGTGTCAGCCTTGGCCCCGAGCTGGGGCATGACTACCTGCCACAAGTTTGACACCTGCTTTCTTTACAGCTCTTTGGGGACGTCTGCTATAACTGCAGCCATGTGATTGAGGGTGATGGTAAGGCTCCTCTGTCCCTGTGCCCCCTCCCCCCTGCACGTGCCTGCTCTCCCTCTGGCATGTTGGTCCTGCAGCTGCAGGCCCAGCTGGTCCTGGGCCAGCCTGGGCCTGCTCAGCCTGCTCGCCCCTGCCCCCACAGTGGTGTCGGCCCTCAACAAGGCATGGTGCGTGAATTGCTTCTCCTGTTCCACCTGCAACAGCAAGCTCACCCTGAAGTAAGTGGTGCTGGCCTCCTGGGGGTGCCAGGGCAGGGTTGGCGGAGTGGGACCTGCCCAGCATCGGCCTCCTCCTGGAGCCTGTCGTGGGGGCTCCAATTTGAGAGCGCTTCCCCTGGTTTCTTCATCAGGCTTTCCCTGGATGCCTGCTGTGGTCAGGCCCTGGGGGTGCAGTGGCAGCAAGGGGCAACCCCAGCCTATGGAGGCAGATTGAGGGGCCCCTTGGGCAGGGTGAGAGTGGGAACGATGTGAGCCTCCAACACACCAGCAAAGACACTGGGCTCTGAGGAGGGAAGGGCATTCCAACTCAGGGAACAGCATGTTCAAAGGCAAAGGAGTCAGACCGCTGGCTCCTCCATGAACCACAGGAGGTGCAGAAGGGCTGGATCTGTGAGGTGAAGGGGAGTCCAGGTTTCTGAGGACCGCAGGGAGTCGTGGACGGTTCTGGAGTATCAGAATCTCCTGAGAGGGAAAGGAGGCCTGGAGGCCTGTTTCCTTGTCTACTGTGACCCCTGGCCAGAAGCTCACTCAGGGACCTGGACTGCTGTGGGCTGAGTTGGTGGGGCCTGGGGCTCTTCTGACTGCTGGACTTCTTCCCCAGGAACAAGTTTGTGGAGTTTGACATGAAGCCTGTGTGTAAGAGATGCTATGAGAAGTTCCCACTGGAGCTGAAGAAGCGGCTGAAGAAGCTGTCGGAGCTGGCTGCCCGCAAGGCCCCCCCCAAGTCGGTGGGCCTCAACTCCGCCTGAGCGGCCTCCTGCCTGCCCTCCACCTTCATCTCCCCCTTCCTGCTGGTGCCCCCTTCCCTTTGCTGCCTCCAGTCCTCATCTCTGCTCCTTGTCTGTGGCCTCCCCCTCCTTCCTTCCCTCCTTCCCTCCTTCCCTCCAGTATGCTTCTCATCCCCTTCTCTCCCTCCCCCATCTCCTTCCCCTGCTCTCTTGGCTCACCACCCACTCTTTTGGCCCCTAGTCCCTCATCTCCACCTCCTCCCCAGGCCTCTCTTTTCTCTCTTGCCATGGGCTCCTCACTTTCCTTTTATGTAGGCATGGGGCAGAACAGGGCCCTGGAACCTGTGACAGGCCTGTGCCCACAGCCTTAGGTCAAGTCCTGCAGGGATATGAGCGAATCAGGGCCTGGGGTCACCTGGCCATGGGGCCCTGCTCATCCTGACCTGTCCCATTCCTGCAGGGGCACCTGGCAGCTCACATCCTTCTGTGGGAGCTTGGCCAGCCTCCACCCAGAGTGGTCCCACTGTGCACACATGGCTCTGGGGAGGCCACAGCCAGGCAGCTGCTCCAGCCCCGTGACCCTGGCCATGCGGATGGGGGCCTCTGGGGAACCACCTTTGACCCTTGGACACACACACACTCAACCATGTAGGATCCTTGTGCATAAACTGCCACCGCACCCCACAAATCATCAGGGGGGATACGGACCCCCTCCCATCATCACTCAGGAGACCTCCTTCCTGAAATCCAGTCTGGGCCACGGGCCACTATGGTTCCCCCAAGCTCCTCTGTGGTCCCCGTAGCAGCTCGGGTTCCCTGTGTCCTCCTCCCCCCACAAGGGCACATGCTGATCCTCTGGGTGCAGCCAGCCAGGGGCTAGAAGGTAGTGGGGTTGGGTGGGTGGCTCACTCCGAACCTTCAGGGACCACACTTCCTCCGTGGCCAGCACAGGACCTGGTGCTTGCATAACGAATGAAGGCTTATTTACACGACCACTTGGCCTGTGTGGTTTCTGTCGTGAGAGTGAGGAGATAAGGCAGCCCCTGTGGGCATACTGCTTTGGGGTTGTGGAATGCTTAGAGAGATGGACACCAAATAGGACAGGTGAGAGAAATGTCCAATTAGGACCCAGCTCTTGTTGCCCTCAGGCTTTGGAGACCAGTCCAGCTGGAAACCCTCAGTCCATGAAGCCTGGCCAGTTGGGGAAGATGGGTAGGATGGCGCCTGCCAGCACGGTGGGGATGAACCCAGGCCACTAAGGCCCTGCGTCCAGCTCTGCTCCCACCTGGGCCCAGGCTGGCCTTTGTGGGAAGCCAGCAGCCAGAGAGGGAGGCCTGGCCTGCACCCCCACCAGGCCCTCCCACAGCAGTTATATGCCCCAGGGCCCTGTGGGGGAAGGAGAAAGGTGTGCCAAGGGGCCTGAGGGAAGAGGCAGGAGGGAGGGGGAAAGCAGACAAAGGGAGGGGGAGAGATCAATGAAGTCATTCCCTGAGAATGGAGTTGTCCTCCAGGCATACCTCAGAGGAGTCACCATGCTTTTTGCTTTCTCTGGAAGAGATCTTTTGCCGGCCAGTGCCTCCTAGGCCTCCTGCCCACCTGCCCACCTGCCCACCCCCGTCCCCGCTTCTCTAGCACATTGCACAGTGCTTCAGGAATTTTTATTTTACATTCTTGGGGGAGTCCTTTCAGCCATCCACCCATCAGCCTGGAGGCCTGACATTCCGGGCTCCGCACTGGGCTCCGCACTTTGTCCTCCATGGTCAGCCCCTCAGGAAAGGAGGCCTGCCTGGTATGCTGAGGGTTGTGGGGGTATGTTCTGGGGAGAGGGAAGCATGAAAAGCTGCCTGCAGAAGGCAGGCCCTGGGCCTTTGGAAAGGGCCACCTTTCCAAAGGGCCTTTGGGAAGTGCCACCAGGGTAAGGGTAAGGGTAAGTGAATGGATACACCAGCTCCCGGTGCTAAGGATCAGCCTGGGCTGGGGCCTGGGAGCCCTGCTGCTTGTTCATGGTGCTCAGGAGCTGCTGCACATACGAGGTCAGCAGGTCATCCATTTTGTAGCCCTGGACAGGGAAGGGTGGGGTTGGAGGCTGTGAGGGGCCGTGGTGGTGCCCTGCTTCTGCCTCAAGGACACACTGCTGAGAACATAGTCCTCCTCCTTCCTCAGAGAGGCCCAGGACCACAGGGGGCCCACACCAGACCTTGCCACTATGGTCCCTGGATGACAGTCCCAGGCTTTTTCTTGCTGGTCCTCCTTCCTGGCTCTGTTGGCCCAGCCTGGCCTAGCCCACCCTGGGCACAGGAAGTCAGGCCCTCAGTGTAAGCCACTTGCCTGGTGGCAGTCCGGGGCCAGGTTTGGGGAAATGTACTCCCTGGTGCCTCCGTGTCCTGTGTGTCTGGGTTGGGGGAAGGGACCAGAAGGCACCCAGGACTGGGACTCACCAGAGAGGTCTCACACAGCAAGCGGCTACCCCGGGCCAGGCTCCCCAGTGCCATGTGGAAGTAGGTGCTGCCACTGCTCCAGCTGGAGATCTTGGTGAAGGGGTAGGTGGTGAGCAGTTCCTGAGGGCAGAGTGGGCAGGGTGGGTAGGACCCAGCTCCAGCCCAGGGAGCCTAGGGACCCTAGGACCTGAGCTGCTGCTCTGGGGTCCTCCAGAGTCCATGGGTCATGGGAGTGGGCATAGAAGGGCAGGGGGGTACCACCTGTGCAGGGGTGTGGGACCCTGGCAGCTTCCCCAGCCCTGCTGGGGCCCTGCTGCTACCTTGGTCTTGGGGTGGATAAGCAGAACCCCGTGCCGGTTGATAGCAATGAGGATGATGTCCGGGTATGAGGTCTCCGAGGTTTGCTGGGGAGGAGGGCACAGTGGTCACAGTCAGCCAAGGAGGCCAGGGGGCCACTTCCCTGAGGCACACATGTGCACACATGCTCCTTCCAAACCAGCTGGCCAGGCCTGCCCCTAGATGTGTGTTTAAGGAGGAGCTCAGGCTGCTGGGGCCAGAGCTGGGTGAGGCTTACCTTCACTTCAAAGAAGGCAGATCCAAATGTGGGCCACCGGCAGATCCACTGGAGGAAGGCCACTTTGGCCTCCTCTACTGTCTTGTCCTTGTGTTTGTCATAGGCCAGAAGGATGTTCTAGGGGAGGTAAGGGCCAGTGAGGGCCTGAGCAGGCCGACCACACAGGGTCCCCAAGGCCCCTGTCCAGAGCAGCGCCCGTGTGCTTGCAGCCAGCCTGGAGGGCACTTAGAGTCAAATGTGTCCTCTGCACACAGGGAACCCATTTCTGGGGTGCTGTGAACAGCATGGGGAAGGGGTGACAATCATAGACCCAGCCTACCCTCCATGCCCAGAAGGTGCTCATCTTGCCCAATTGGGGCCCGGCGCCCTTGTACCCCAGGGTCCCCTCCCCAGCCCCATCAAGGACCTTTCTCCATTCCTCGGATGACATGAGGCGTGTGAGGTTCTCAGGCACAAGATCCCGCAGAATCTTGGGGATACTAGCCAGCTGGGACCGGTCGTTATTAAACTGGGCCTTGTAGATGAGGCCGGCCAGGTGGATGGCATCCTCCCGTGAACACTTGTGGAACCCACGAAGGTACTTGGGCAGCTCCTGAGTGATGGACATGTTGGCTTTAGGCTGCTGCCCAAACCCTTCATGCTCAGGTGGCAGAAGTATTAGCTCTGGGGACAGCCAGGAGACAGAGCCAGCAAAACCCTAAGCCCTCAGGGAGGGTTTCTGGCAGGGGCAATGGCCATCAAGTCAGGGCACGGCTCCCTGACATCTCACCATGGAGGTGGTGGCCTGCCCTACCCTTATGTAGTTGGGACCCTCTGTTCCTCCCTCTCCCAACAATTACTCTGCAGGGGCTGGTACAGTCAGTGTCCCCAAAGGCTGCTGTCCCTCTGCTCCTGGCTGTGGAACCCTCAGGACCTCAGCCCACCCACCACATGGGGCCTCAAGGGCCTCCAGAAGCCCCTGGAGAGGCTAGGTGACCCAGAGCAAAGCCGCAGCTGGCCTGCTGTCTCCTCTACCATCTCTCAAGGCAGGTGTGGGTGAAGTGATGGTGTGCCCAAACACCCACCAGGAGTGAGCCTGCCCGGGTACCTGGTGGTAATGAAGTATAGTGTCTGCATTTGTGTCCTTCCCTGGGGTCACGCTGAGCCACAGTTTCCGCATGAAGTACACCTGGTAGGGGAGCGTCACGGGGGCCCCTGGGCAGGGCGGGCAGTGAGTGCCAAGGCTGTCCTGTGGTCCAGCAGACTCCTGGACCTGTACTTCCCACCCCCTCTAGTGGCCAGGGCATTGCCACCCACCTCCTTGGAGCACATGGCCTGCAGCACGTGTATCCTGAGTCTCCCCCCACACCCCTGCCATCGCTGCTGTGGTTGCTCCTGACGCCTCTTCTACTGAAAAGCCTCATCCCCTCTTCCTCCCTGACCACCGACTCTTTCTCATCCCTCAGGAATAGTGCAGAAGCCACCCTCTCCAGGGATCTTCCTGGACCTCTCTGTGGGGGTCAGGCCCCCACAAAGCCTTCATCACCTTGCAGCCCAGCCATCTGTTCTAGGCCTGACGCCATGCCCTCCCCCTGCCCGCTTGGCCCCAGCTGTAGCCAAACCCATGACCCAGGAGATTTAAAGGGGAATGAATGAATGAATGAATGGGCAGGGACCATGCAAGAAGTGCCAACGGAACATTCTGTCCCTGGCCCCGGGAGGCAGACTCTCCTTTCCCCCGGACCCCTCCATCCCAACCACATCCCTCCTTTGTCTCCACCCTGCTCCCCTTACCTTCTTTTTGGGGCTTGTTTTTCTTCACCCAATCAGACACTTGCCGCAAGGAATCAAAGAAGAAGTCTCCCTCCTTCTGGCTGATGACCTGGGGTGGGTGGGGAGGAAGGGAGAGGGTAGAAGGGCTTCCAGGGGAGAGCCCACCCCGGGAGGCGCTAAGGGCCTGGGTCTGGTCAGCCCATCTATGGCTGGGGAGGCTAGGCGCTGCTCAGAGCTGGCTCTCACTTGCTCCCACACTGTGCTGCTCCATAAGCCCACCTCCCTTCATCCTGACAGCCTGTGTGTAGTGAGGGACCTGGCCCAGTATGCAGGGGAGAATGCCACGTACATCAGACATCCACCCACCCTTCCCGCCACCCTGGCCTGGCCAGCTGAGCGCACCTTG